CGTTTGCAAACCACATGCTAACACTGCAGGCGCTGAACTGGCTGTGAAAACGGGTGAAACGTATTGCTCATGGATACATTACCGCAGCAGGGTCCCTTCGATGTCGACAAGTTCCAGAGAGCATTACTGGATGTAGCAGGAACTCTGTCGACCCATGAGACGAAGTCCTCTCCGCGCACTTATCTTATTCGGGGCGACACATCCGTGATGCCATCCTATCCCGCTGGGGCAGATATTCTTCCCACAGAAACATGGACAGATGCTGACTGTTCCATCGAGAGATGGCACTCGCGCTCGACGGCACTCATGGTGAGCTGACGTTGGAATGAACACACTCAGCCGCGGTTACCACAGCACTGCAGGTGGGACTTTCATGTCTACCTCCAGGAATTTGGGTGGCAACCACCCAAGGAAGATGGGAACGCACCGGGACGGTCCTAGAGGTTACGGCTAGTACCACTCAGTGATGTCATCCGTGTCGCGTGGGGCAGGAGTCCACTATCCGCGGACCGCCAACATCTTTCGCGCAAGTTCACCCCTTTTCAAACAGAACTCCCAACGGGGGCACAGCGAGTAGATCAGCCCAGTTGCCGCGAGCAACCGCAGGAAGTGATCTCTATCACCCCACTCCTTCAAGCAACCAACCACAGATGCCAGAATCACATCCATCACCATCACCGTTTGCGGCATCAGACGCCGCTCGTCCAAACAAGTCACCCACGTGGCCTCCTACGTCTGTACGTGTGTCCCAGAACCCCTTAGCCGCCACAGAGACTGACTTCGATCGTCTCGACACACTCTCCTTGCCCGGATTGATTTCCGGCTTATTGACCGGGTACCACGTGCTATGCCGTCTCGCAGCCTCCACAATAAGGCCTGATGTACAAGGAGGGCTACTGACACCGCACAGGCCGTGGCCGCTAGTCAGGGAAGACAGAGTAGCAACACAGTGAGGGATGACAACGCTGGATCTGAGGACCTGTTTTTTTAAAGACTCAGTTTTATTCCAGAACTCTTCAGCGGGCTTGTTGTTTTTGGTTGTGTTTTTTTTTTTACGTGTCCCTGAGAGGACTGTTAAAGGCACATTTTATTCAGAACTATTCAGTTGTTTTTCGTGTCGATGAGACTGTTTAAGACACAAGACATTTCATTCAGAACTATTTCAGTTTTACCAGTGTCCAGGAGACGGTTGAGAGGACTGTTGGAGACTATTCAGTTTTATATTGTACCCATAAAAACTTGTCCCTGGGGGAGGAGATAACTAATCATTATACTGTATCTGTGGTGTTCCCAGGTAGCAGATCATCCTTTATGTTTAAATAAACCAACGGAAGATGGGTATCTATTTAGTTAAGAACAAGAGACAGTCTATATTTCTAAACAAGTGATCACTGTTGTTGAATTGAAACAAAAGATGCTGAGTAATGCGTAAGTGTCTTTGTGTCTGTAATCGTTTCTGGAATTCATACTCGCGAGCGTCTGACGCGGATTGGAGTCGAGTGCTGTTCCTACCTGCTATATATCATTAACAGTGGACTGCGCCACAGTAGCAACTTGGCGGCGCCGAGCGTAGGTGTGTGTGATAGACATTTACACGGGAATTGAACAGCGAAAACTGTCGGCAATAATAGCGTAGAGAGAGAGTATAGAAACATTCAGATTTTTGTAGTACTACTTACTAAG